CCTTCTCCTCCTAAAACTTGCCTCTATCGGCAAAGGTAACACGCTTTTGAATTAAATATCCTCCAATTTGGATGTTCGCACACAATGAGTTAATATATCCGGTGTCTTCTCCAACCCCACACATGTGTAGAGTGATGTTATTCAGGATAGCGTACTTGGCTCACGCTTATCCTGCGTTTTTGTCAACGATGTTCCTGATTACTTTCAGTAGGGTAGACCCTTTATGTACCTTTTAAGTATGGTGTCTCTCCCTTTCTTAGTACAAATGTTCCTTTATGGTTTATGGGGACAATCATCAGCCTGAACCAAGCATTGGTGTTCATAAAATAAATGTGGCCGGAGTTATTAAGGATATGACATATCCTATTCTAGTAGTCTCAATCTGTAAGAGCACTGCGCCATGACAGTCTCAAAAGCACGCCGAACTACCGGATTTATTCTCAGAAAGTTGAAAACCATCAATGTTAGAACTAGCCTTTATAATATGTACGAAGACCTAGTCTCGAATACTGCTCGCCCCTATAAAGCCTTCTGCGCACTAGTGAACGGAAGACAATCGAATCGGTCCAGCATTCCTTCACCAAAGTTGTTTTTCTTCAGAACAACGAAACTTGTCCTACCAGCCACGTTGTGAACTTAATAACCTTGATCCATTTTGGTTTCACAGATTACAGAAGGGAATATTTTATCAGTTCAAACTTTTAAACAGCCACAACTTTAATCCTCTCAGTACCCTGAGGTAGCTCGACCATTGTCGGCGCGTCAGTCATCGAGATGTATTTTAATTTTCACTATGGCACACACGGATAGATACCGTAAATATTTTTCAGTAAACGCCACAAGCTACCCAGACGTATTAAAAGTCAGAAAAGCTATCCTTTGTGTAAGAGAGTTATCACTGGTTGTCTACATTCAGGACAACTTTAAGAATTTTGGGTGCTGACTCGGTCTTTCACTCTGGGGGCTTTCGTGGACTTTGAACCCTGCTGGACCTCATTCTGAGGGCAATGGTGCTGAATCTGCTTCCCGCAACCGGTTAATTCTTCAGCCGGGAGCGAGCAACCGTCCGCCGACAAATTCCTCTGGTGCAGAATCTCGAAGCCTTAACAATCAAGGGAGACAGAAAACACTGTGTTCCCATGTCCACCCCCCGTCCCGAAGTCCAGTCTCTCAAATGCAGTTTTTTCTGCTCAACTATCAACTCCATCTATTACTATACATACCGTTCGTTTGTATCATACATTTGGACGCAGGTTTTTTTGCGATTAAAAAAAAACTCTATATCGCCCACTATTGAACACGCACAATACTAAAACAAAAGCAATATTGACTGCAAAAGACGGAGTTTGTTTTGGGTTCTTTCCTGTCTTCCAGGTTTTAGAAGGCGCCCTAGAGGTGTACTTCTAAGATAATTCGCTTCACGAAGTCGGCCATGTGTGGCATACCCTGATATGCCCGCCAAGGCAGTTTAGTAGCTGGCTTTACGGAAGAAGAACCGCATTAAAGTAGAGGCTACCTAGGTACCTAGAGGTAAATAGCTACTGACTATGTAATTCATCGTTGAACAACTTATTAATTAGCTCTCGGAAGTCAGCTGCTGGCGAATGGGATTTCCTGGCACCTGAGAATTGCAAAACATCATATATTGTTGCAGTGCTAGGTTAATTAAGTTATATTTTTTTGCGGGTAATTAAACTGCTTTTCTAGCTGGTCGGGTTATTTTTGACTAATGCACGTGCAGTTGTTTTTCTATACTATTTTTAGCGAGACCTTGGTGTATGTATAGATCATCATTTCCATTGGTGTCCAGTCTTCTGAGTTTGGTTGTGTGTTGCTGTTTTTTGTTTGGCGATCTGCCCTTTCTCTGTTGTTGTT